TATCTTCCAGTTACCTCTGGGAAGAGCCATGAGAAGAACTTTTCTCGTGGAAAGTATCAGCTCCTGTTCTTGTTGTAGTGCAAAAGTGGAACTGACAGATGTTTTTAGACATTGTAAAAATTACATGGTACTAGAATTAGGGGGAATTTTTTAGGCAGGTTCCAGAACTCATCTTTTATATGAGCTAAATGTTATGTTTTATTACCTCTTGTAAGTTCAGGCACCCAGTGCAGCCATTTGCAGATAATAAAGTGGAGCATGTCATAATGTTTTACGGATTTTTTAGATGATACAGAGTAATGCACATTTTTGGTATCACTCTTCCATTGCTTTTGCAGTCATGATTGTAATATGGCTGTGCAGAAAGGTCTACAGTTCCTGACCCTGCTTAAATTTGCTTTGATTTATGGTACTTCAGGTAACACAGGACATAGAACATTTCTGTACCACATATGCAGAGCTGTATTTAAGACACTGGTCTCAAGAACCCTAATCTCCTCTTGGACTGGTGGTTGGGAGTAGTAATAAAGACCAGAGAATCTATTCAAATCATTTGACTTTCTCTGTTTTCATCTCCTCTTCCAGCTTTCTTTCTCCACGTGCTGTAGCACCATGAGGACTGCAGTTGCAAGATGAATTAGGGCAATGCATGCGCTGATTTCAGGTAGCAACGTGGCTAGAGAATAGCCATGTGTTGAAAACTGTCTGGGAAGAGGAAGTACCCAGGGATGTTTGGTAACACCCTGACACCTTCGGAGAGAGACAATCTGTCCCGTTTACAATATCTTGTCTCTGTCCTGTAACAAGGAACATATGGAGGCAGCTGTCCTTACTGGGTATCTGAGTGCAGATAGCACTGAAGTGCCATGTAGGACGTGATGGCATTTCTCTGATTTTGTATTGTAGTGATGATGGTTTCATCCAAATTTCAAACTCTTTCAGAAACTCCCAGAGCACAAAGTTCAAGTGAAAGGAAAGATTGCTTATGAGTATCTTGACTTATTGGGGAATTTGTTACAGACAGAGCAGGCAGTTTTGTTTAAATAAATTCTATCGCTACTAGAATTTAGGATCCATGAGAACTTTTGGATCAATTTTGTTGCAACTTGCAATCCGTCACCTTATTTAGAAGTGTAGTACTTGGAAAACTGTGTGTTCTGCTGGATCTTTTGTGTAAGAACAGTAACACAGTGTCACCCTAGCCTTTTCTTTGCAGATTTTTTAGATACTGTGAGTAGAGCTGGGCTTTAGTCTGTAAACCTACACAAAACAGGAGAAAGTTTCACACAATAGTGATGATTTATAACTCATTTTTTCTATGAGGATTCCCAAGTGCTTAATGCACGTTCAGCCTCATGACGAATATCAGGTCTGTTCCATAAATGAAATAAAGATGCAGGTTTTATGTTACAATGAGTTTAGAGGCAATACATGCTCAATGTATCCTTGTTCCTCCTTCCTCCCTCCTCAGATTGCACAGTGGAGGGACTCGTGGCCATAATTTGATGGCAGGAACCAGTAGTTTGGGATGGGAAAGAAGCAAGGATACCTGTTCCCAAATGTTTTTGGGTTAATCCAGGAGTTTGATGCAGAACACTGGCCTACTGACTTGTAGCCTTGAATGCATGGTACTGGTACTTTAAAACCCTGCAAGAAGCAACAGAAGTGAAGGAGTGGTCCCAAGAACCACTTTTTAGGTTGAGGTTAAAAGTGTTTTTCAGTAGTCTTTGTGAGGTCAGAGCTAAAACCAGAGAAACTGCAACAAGCTGTGTCTGTGGTTCAGAAGAGGGCTGTGGGCTGACAGGTACAGTTGCACTCTCTTTGGTGACAAAGCTGGTTTACGTATTTCAGTGCCATCCCATCAGTTGTTTTCGGGGATGCACTGTTGCATTAGTGCCTGAAATGGCCCTTGTAGGTGTGCCCGGCAGTATTGCCAAGCCAACCACCAAGAGCTGTGCATAACCTGAAAATATACCCAGGGTTCTTCTTGTTTTATTCTGAGCTGGCGGCAGTTCTAGCTGTAGCTTAGTTTTGCTACTCTACAGGCTTAGTTGCCTTTCAGTAAGTACAGATTTTTCTGATAGTCCCAAGGTGTCAGGAGCTGTTGTGGCGAGTTGAGCTGTGAGTTGATGACACTCTGCAGTCTGGAGTGTCTCCTTGGTAAAATAGTCCCTCAGACTTCTTCATGCTCTACAGTGACTTCAGTCTGGGTGTCAGGTATAGGAGTAGCCTTTATCTTCCCAAGATTCAGCAAACTGTAGCCAACAAGTGTGAAAGGTCTGTTCTGGCTGTTGTCAACCTCTTTTAAAGAACAAATGTTAAAGCTATCATGTGGAAGTTACACACGCCTGAGGTAAGTTTCTTCAGGGGAGATCTCACACACAGACATGGCCTCTTCCAGAAATTAAAGGACATTAAGGATTTCCACTTTTTCTGCATGAAGTGCGGAAAGTTTCTCTTGGACCTTGCCTCACGTAACAAAGGAGACAAGCGGGAAGGTAGTAATTACGGCACAGAGAAGGACAGTGCTGCTAACTGTGTTTTTGCACACATTCAGTTGTCTGTCAATGTAAACAAGGAAGCACATACAATAGATGTGAGTTAAGGAGCCACACATACTCCTGGAAAGTGCTACAATGGAAGTGACAAGAACAGTATATGAACTAGCGCAGACAAGCAGTTACTGCAGAGGACAGGAGGGACAACTCCTAGTTTCATCCCAGATTTAGAGGAAGACTGGCAAGATTTCTGCCGCAGGTGGGTGGGATGATACAGTCGTACTGCTGAACTTAACAAATGTCCACAGAATGCTAGCTGGTTGGCGGTGGTGTGGCTGTATTGGAACAGGGATGGCTTGAGATAGAGTTGTTATAGCAAAAACCTGTAAGACTGTGAAAATAGATATTCCATACTGAAAAAGTAATTAAAAAAAAAAAGGGGGAACGTCTGAAGCCAGGTGCTGTAGTACCCAGTTTTTGCTGGCTCATTGAACAACCTTTACTGCCATCTGTGTGCATGTGTGTATGCAGTATGAAATATGATAGATTTTTCTTTTTTCTCCTGCTCGATACAGCTTGGATGGAGAGCTGAATTTTAACATGCAAGCATTGCTGGGGGAGCTTGGGAAATTAGGTCACTACTAATATACTTAATTTTTTGTATGATTGCCTGGCCTTTCTTCTTACAGATGCAACTTTGACATAATAGTCCAGTGACTAATCAGCCTGCCCTATAAAATCAGGATCTGCGGTGAAGATGGTTAGTTCTTCCTGGTTCCAACTGAGTTAAAAAACACAACAGGAAGAAGAAGGTCAGATAACCCAGACTTCCAGTATATCCAGGGCAGATCAAATGCTGTGGAATGAAATGGGCAAAGTTTTGTGATGGTGCTTTGATTCCTTAAGCAGCAGGAGGAAAGTTACACTTTATCCAGTCTGAACATGGGATTTATTGCTTTTGTAGTGTGTCTCAGCTCCTATGTCAAAAGTAGCCTTGATTTATAATTTAAAAAGAAACCTGAGCATTTTTGGATTTCATGTTTAAAAATCAGAAATCTTGATTCCATTTTTCTTAAAAATGAAACAAAAAACATACAGGCAGTAACTGTAATCCCAGATGAGCAAACTTATGTGATTTCGATTATTGAACCTGTGAAACTTTATAGATATTACCGAGGCTTCAAATCAAGGCCAACCTCTGGCTTTTAAACTTCGACTTGCACTGGAAAACTGCAAGGAAAGAGTTTCTTCTCTTAAGAACAGTTGGGCAAATTCTGTGAAATGACAGTCACAGTTATTAAGTTGTACAAGTTTGCTGTGGGATGTATCGGGCCTGTGGCAATCAGAGTGGAGGCAGAAGGTGTCTGGTAGAGGGGACTTTGAAGCTTGTGGTATGGAGATCTCGCTGAGCTGCCTAGTACACAGAGCCCATAGTTGCTATTTTTTAAGAATGCTTTTCCTTCATTCATATGGTTTCCCTCTTGTCCTTACCCTCATACTGGCTTTCCCAACTGTCCAGGGAAACTGTAAGAGTGTTTCAAACGGTTTATTTAATTTGTCTGTCCTTGCAAGTTTTAATACAGCAGCTGCAGGAGCGCAGTGTTGCTGCATTAGATTTAGTATGCTCTATATATGTTGACGTGGAAGGGCCATACAACGGTTTTGCAATGTTAACAATCCCTGCAAAAAAGCTGAGATACAAGGGACCAAGGAAGTCTGTGTCTGGTTACATGGGTGTCTCAGATCACGGCAGAGGGAGGCGTGTAAACTGGCCCGCTGTAGGCCAGATGAGTATCGAAGGTCCTGTACCTCAGCCAAAGCTGGGAGGTTGATACAGAATTTATAGCATAAGAAATGTTGCAGCCTTTATTAAGCAGGTCTATTGCACGATCACAATAACCTGATGTAATTCATGGATTATCTTCATGGAAATCCATGAAGATAATGGAATCCATGGAAATCATGGATACTTCCATGGGAAGCCTGGGGGCAAGAGAGGTTTGTAGTCTGAGTTGAGGGTGAACCACACAGTCCAGCCCATCTGATGGGTTCCCTAATCTGACTGTGGAATTGCAGCTAGGAGCAGAGTTATGCTTTGCACTTATGAAACAGCTTCTATTCAGGGCTTGTTCTCTGGGGAATGGATGCAAAACACCAGAAGAACAAGACACAAATCTTTCTAGTGCATCGTCTTTGACAAATTAACTTTAGACCATATTTAGTACAAATATGGGAGCCTCTGCCTCAGTATACAGGATTTCAGGTTATTAGGAAGAGGATGTTTTTTCTATTCCCCTTTGGACTGTTATGCCTTTGTGAGGTACAAAGCATCCTTCACATATGTAGCAAAATAATGCTAAAAAACTGTTGTTTTCTTATTTCTGCAGTGTAATGACTGGCTTATGAGACAAGCTCAAGGATGGTGATATGAAAAGACTCTTATTTTATTTTTTACTTCCAGTACTGGACAGTAGAGATTAACTCTTTTGTGCTTATTTTCAGACTGGATATTTCCATCTGCCCCATGGGGATTACTTCATTGAGCCCATTAAAAAGCATCCACAGAAGGAGGGAACACCCCACCCCCATATTATCTATGGGGCAAATATCCTTCAAAATGCTTTAAGGAGAAGACGGGCGATCCCGATGGAAAAAGAACAAGCATGCGGATTGAATGGTACAAATATTGCTGGATTCCTGCCAATTTGCTTTCTGCATCTTTTCAAGCAGTTTTTGTTTTCCAGTGCTGTGTGCCTTTCCTTCTGCCAGGCTTTTTTAAATTCTATAAAAAGAGATTATGCAAAATGAGAGCATCTCAGTCAAAACACCTTGAGACCCACCCTTCTGGGTTCCTTTCTGGAAGCTTAAATCACCCCCTGTGACTGCTGGGATATGTTTTTCACACCACTGATCCTTTATACCCCTCACTTTTTTCTCCAAACAGAACTGTTCAGTGAGTTTGACTTGAATTCTTGAGTAGTGCCAGGATGACAAGAATTGCAGTCATTATTATTTTTAATAAAATACTCTTCCTCTGTGCAAATGCTCTCCTCAACATAAAATATCGCCCCTCTAATACATGGTTTAAACTTAGGATTTCTAGATTCTCTGTGGCAGTTACCACCATATTTAAAGACTTTTATTTGGTTGTTCTGCAGGTGGAGTGCAGGGCAACAGCAAGATGTTTTTTCTAGAAGTAGAAGTAAAAATAACTTAAATATTGGTGCAGTAATACTCAGCATTTTGTCTTTTGGGAAAACAAACTAATACACTGTTCTGGAAATGCACTATCTAGATGGTAGTTGGCATCTCGTAATTACAAAATTAGTTCCTTTATCTAGTGAAATCAGTTACTTGATTGACTTCATATTAAAAATTTACACATCTTCTGTTGGTTCTCTGATGTTTGAGGCCTTCAAGCTGGGTTGGCACCAAACTTTAGAAAAGGTACAGTATTGGTAGGGAGAATGAATAATAACCTAAATGGCCGAAGGCCCAAGTTATGTACATATAGAGCTGCAGAATGTGCAGGGGTGTGTTTCCAGCTTTCACAGGTTCATGGTTAAAGAGTAGTTGGTTCTTTTGCAGGGGTGGAAAAAAAGAGGAATGTAGGAATTTTTAATCCTGTCGTGACTGCTGTTGAAGTTTTACTGCTGTGGAATATGAATTGATAAATTAAAGAAGCAAACAACAACTCATCCCTACTGTGTTTCTGGTCATGGACCTGCTTTGCACTTCCTGCTTGCTGGCAATAAGCAGTATGAAATGAAAACTGGGGGAAACTAGAAAATTGATGGCTTGGGGGGAGCTATTCAGTCTTCTGTGATACTGGGAAGGTGAGGATAAGGGGAAGCAGTAAGAATTAATATGAATACAGTTCCTCATCATTTTTGATCAAATAAAAATATATCTACTTGTTAGACAAATAAGCCTGAAGTTGAAAAGCCATGAACATATAAAGTTGATGTCTATTTTGACTTAAATCTAAAGTACCTCCCTGCTTTTCCATTTCTTCTGATAACTGCTAGGATGAATGAGAGGAATTAGTTTAGATTTGCCTGTGAAGAATGAGGAAATGTTCTTGCCTGCTGTATTTGAGGTTTCTTTTATGGATGAAATAACATCTGTAAGCAACAATTTTAAGTATAGAAAGGAGATAGGAGATATCAGGGATCATGCTGTGTATTTGCTTTGTGTAGCCTGCTTATTTTCTTTCTTCCTCTTACTTTTTACCTCTTGTATTTTCTTTCAAAGTCCTGCAGAATGAGACAGAAAAAGACTGGTTGGACCAGTCAAATAAAAGTGCAAAAATACTGGCTGGGTGGAGAATGGATTGAGAGCAGCACTAAGGAGAAGGACTTCAGGGTACTGGTGGATGAAAAGCTGGACGTAAGCTGGCAATGTGCGCTCGCAGCTCAGAAGGCCAACCGCATCCTGAGCTGCATCAAAGAAGCGTGGCCAGCAGGTCAAGGGAGGTGATTCTGCCCCTCTACTCCGCTCTTGTGAGACCCCACCTGGAGGACTGCGTCCAGCTCTGGAGCCCTCAGCATAAGAAGGACGTGGACCTGTTTGAGTGAGTCCAGAGGAGGGCCACGAAGACACTCAGAGGGATGGAGCTCCTGTCCTATGAAGACAGGCTGAGAGAGTTGGGGTTGTTCAGCCTGGAGAAGAGAAGACTCCAGGAAGACCTTATAGCGGCCTTCCAGTGTCTGAAGGGGGTCTACAAGAAGGCTGGAGAGGGCCTTTTTACAAGGGCATGTAGTGCTAGGATGAGGGGGAATGCCTTCAAACTGGAAGAAGGTAGATTTAGAATAGATATCTGGAAAAAAAAAAATTCACTCTGAGGCTGGTGAGGCACTGGAACAAATTGCCCAGAGAAGCTGTGAAGACCCCATTCCTGGAGGTGTTCAAGGCCAGGTTGGATGGGGCTTTAAGCCACCAGGTCTAGTGGGAGGTGTCTCTGCCCATGGCAGGGGGGCTAGAACTAGATGATCTTTAAGGTCCCTTCCAACCTAAACTATTTCCATGATTCTGTGACCTGGCTGCTGGGAAAAATTGAGCATAGCTTCCCTGAGAGTTCCTCACTTAGACTAGCTAAGTTTGCTCTAATAGGCTTTGGATTTTAAACTGCCTGTCTGATGTTATTCATTCTAATGTGACAGAACTATTTCTAGTGATAATAGTATGTTCATGATATTCCAGGCTAACAAAGGGACTGTCTTATGAACTAACAAAGTAATATACTGTCATTTATGTTCCTGTGTTTAACTGACTCGATCAACCTTTGGAGGTAATGTCTGCTTTTGGTCAAGCAGTAATCTGCTTGGCTGTCATAGAAGTTAAGTAATTAGTGGGAAAAAGTGCACAGAGGAAAAAAGCATTCCCTTCATTACATTTTTGCCCTTTATGTCACAGGATGTAACAGTCATTTGTTCCTCTAAAGGCCTTAACTTTTAATTTGTGTATTGTGTTTTGCTATCTCACTTCACTTGTAGCCAGCTCTTCAACAAGGGTAGAAAAAAAGAAGTCAATGTCATCTCCTGTTTACACTAGAAGTGAAATACAGAAGTTAAAGGAAATGGAGTTGATTCTTGCTTTCTGTGCTAAATATGTTCACTACACAGGCTTTGGGGAATACTTGGTGCATAAATAAATTTTAAAGGTGGTAAATTGATTCTTCTCCCCTTTCAAGACCTCAAGCACTTCATGCTGTTAAGTTTGATTGCGGAAGTCTGGTACACCCACATGATGTCACAGATGGCCCAGAGTAATGCCTTTCGGCCTCACTTTGAAGCAAACCAGTTTCAATTTACAGTTCATATTTAATTCTAGAAACGAATTCTATTTTGCAGATTAAACATCATGACCGTTTTGTGTTCTCAGCCCTAGCCTTGTCCCCACCTCGCTGGGGCTTAACTGATGAAGAATTGCCTGCCGTATCTCTTGTAGGAGCTGGTTTTCAGAATCAAATATTTCAGCCTTGTGTGCTGACATTCATCATACAGACTGTCTGCTTTTGTTTATTTGAGCTCTGATTCTGCTTAGTTTTTAAACTTAAGCTAAGACAATTCAGTCATTCCTAAGACTTATGCTTGAGAAACCCTTTGTATACCCAGGCTAGAATATAGTGATGATTTTTGCTTGGCAAAATGGATGCTTTCAAGTCAGCGCACGAAGTTGGGTAGTGATAATAGTAATCTTTTAGTCAGAACTAACCTGTCTGTCAGGCAAGGGAGTATAAAGACTAGTTTTACAGGCAAAATCAAAAGAGAGGAATTAGTGTGGAAGGGAATAGGTAGAGGATGCTGACCTCTTGTGCAGCCTTTTTCAAGCTTTTTTAATACAAGGACCCTGTCACCTCTTAGAAGAAGCCCTGTGCAGCATGCTCATGACATTTACTGTGGCAACAACCACATGAATCTCCAGACTCCAACCTGCTTGTCATCTGTCTCATTTACATACGGTAATGCTTTAGCATCAATGACATTCATGTGCTCTTGCAATGGTTATATTAGTTAGTTTATAATTTGCAGTATCCTTAACAGTTTCAGCTATTTGGAGAAAAATCATTGGGGTTAATGATGTAAATTAAAACGTAGGTTTGTGCTGTACAGTTCCACTGCTGCTTAGGCAACTGCCGGATGACTCAGTCATTAATTGCATGCAAAACTGAATACTAGTCTTGAAAACAGCATTACGATACTGTACATTGCAAGCTGCTGTCTTACTGTATCATTTGAAATCTGTGTGAGAAGTAACAAAAAATGATAAATGAAAAGTGTCCTTGAGCTTTATGAATAACTTCTCTAATCATTTGTGCCTGTCTGACAGAAGACTAAGGATTTGGGGATTTGCTTTGTTTTTATAAATAGGTTATCATAAAAACTTGACGGTGCTCTGAGATATAATGCAAGTGAGAAGGAATTATCCTCCCTCATCAGAATAAGAAAAGATTTCCTGCCATTTCTTTCTGTTTGTTTCTTTCTGTTTGTTTTCATGCAGTCTGCCACAAGGTATTGGTTTGTTTGTGAGCTGTCAAGTGGAGAAGTTTTGTGAAGTTTTTGAATGAAAATGCTGTGATGTGATGGATCTCTTCCTGACTCAGCACTGCAGAGGGGACTGATAGAATACAAATTGATGGATTTCTTTTTCTTGGCCAAGTGATTCTGTGAGGTGGTCAGGTTGCTGTCATTCAGAAGGAGGGTAGCTGTGTTTGTTCAGACTGCATTCCAGTATTTACTGCAGTAGACTGTAATATATAACTATGGAAAGAAAGGTTTAGGGTATTAAAGTAGATCTCTGAGAATACTTCATTGGAGCTTTAGGTGTATAGAAGTTGTCATACGTTTTGCCCTCATTTTGGCATTGAAAAGATTTGATAGATGAGTTCCACATAGATCAGAAGTTAGGATTAGTTTGGGTTCTACATGGACCTCCGACTCCTTGTCTCCAGAGGAGTTATAAATCTTATAACTGAAAATTTTGCATTTGGAGCAATTTTGCGTTGGAGCTATGATGGGATAAGGCTGGGGTGGGAAGGAGGTGACAGGCTCTGTGACAGTTACAACAGTTACCTGTTGTTTTTCCTAAGGGTTATGTCTGAGTGCAGGTTTTTATTGAATCGTGGTCTTACTTTTTGGTGATTCTCTGCAAGAGTACAGCATAAACTGTTAGTCT